GAGGGACACAAGATTTATCTTGATAAAAATGGCTATTGGCGGTGACATAGTATGTTGTGCTCTGAATGGGCAGCTGGCATGGCAAGGGACTGGTCCCTCACCTTTAGCCAACCTTTTAAGACCAAGCCAAGTTGGGAAAGGATTTTGTTTCCCCCCTCGAGAATTTCTTGCTTTGTTTTGATAAAGCTTGACCCAGAGCTCCCTAAAGGGAATGGTGATTTCCATGCATCTCCAGAGACTTAGCAAGCAACCCTGCATTCCTGCAACATAAACTGTGTTGAGGCAGGGATGTAACCAGATCAAAAATAGGTATTTCTATTAAGCAGAGTGCAACAAGGCTAGCATACTCTGTGTTTATGATAGAAACAAGAGGAATTACTCAGGTTGATCTTGTCAGGTCAAAAGAAAAGTTATGTCTTTTAGAAATTCCATCTTAGTCTAGAAAGAGCATATTCGCCAACATTTGACAGATGAAAACCAGGACACTTGTGGCCAAGCAACATCAGAGGATGGTCAACATTTGGCAATAGTTATTGAATTAAGAAAAATAAAACAAGTGAAGAGTGGCTGCAGGAGTTTGCTTTTGCCTGAGTTTACTGGGAAGGGAAAGATTCTGCCTTCTCTTCTCCCTCTGCTCCGATACCTTTAATTGCTGCAAACTGAATTCAAAGTGCAAAACTTGGGCAGCTTCAGTGAGGTTGTCTGAGTTGTACTGAAATTGTGTGTAAATGATGCGGAAAGGTATTGTATGAAACAAACAAATTAAACAGTTGTGGGGGTGATGAAAGTACTAGGGTTAGGGGCAGCTTTCCAGATAAATGGACGGATGGGTAGGTAGGTAGGTAGATGGATGGATAGATAGATAGATAGATAGAGAGATAGATAGATAATAATTATCCCAGCTTTCTACTGACATAGGACCTATGGCAGCATATTATATGGATTCAAACAAGGCACCTCTACAAAAATCTAATGACGAAAAAAGTTTTTAAAACAATTCAATAAACTATCAGAGCTTCAGTACTTTCAAATGGTGTAAAATCATCTTCCCAAGGAGAGTGGATGTTAATCTCCATATCCAAAAATGAAAATGAAAGATTGCCAAACAGAGATCTCAGAGCACTTTTGTTAAGTGCTGCATGATTAGAAAGAGCAGAATCACGGAAAACATTAGAAGGTTTTTCAATACCAAAGTGGTTAAATAGAGTGTGGTCTAAAGTACTGCTGGAAAATGCTAACATATAAAACAAGATTAGCAAGAGGAGAAATCTGAAGAAATTTGGAAGCTTTTTATGGGTTGTGTTACTCTTGTGAATGCTGTACTTAAACCACCTGATCAAAGTTTTTGGTAGAAAAGTGTGTTTTGAATGTTAGGAACAATATACAACCCATTTATCAGTAGGGATGGTAAATCTCAGTTTCTCATAGTCCTGACAGAAGTTGAAAACAATGAAACAGTTTTCTTCCCATAGCTTTTTGTTCTCATAGCTTTGATATATTCAGGAATTTTCCTGCCTGCAATGATGGGAAATGGCTCAGCTTTTCCAGGAAAGTTTTGCAACTTCCCCAGAAAACTGCACATTTTTCTGGGAGCTACACAGCAAGAGAACAATACAGCCCTCCTTGAAAATGTTACTGCTTTCAGTATAAAAAGGAATGCTTTCAGGGAGTCATGTATTTTTTGGGGGCAAGATTGCTTTTTTATGCAATGTTACACAACAAACAAACAAACAAACACATTGCACAAAATCAGTAATGATGCACAACAAAATCACTTGGCTATTTTTGTGTGTGCAACATTGCAGATTCTGCAGAATGTTTTTGCTGTGCAATGTATTTCTTGTCTACGTTACCCTAATGTTACAAGAAAAATATTGTGCAAAATCCAGTAATGTTGCCCAATAAAAATGTATGTGGCTGTAGCTTCAGTTAACCTGAGTTTCTTTTCCTGCCTCACAATATTTTGGGCCAGCAAAGGCTGTAGGAACAGTGTCAAATGCTTCACCCTGTTGCTTGCATAGGGGTATCATGTGTAATTTAGTTGTTCATTTTCTGCATTACCCCCTGAACTTTCCCTAGGCATAGTACAGAAAAAACAATGTAAGTGGATAAGGTCTTTCTACCTTGGACCGCTGTGCAGCATTTTTGTATGTAACAGAAAAGTATGTGAGTGTAGGCTTGTATGTCCTAGCATTCCTAAGTCTTGACCATCATGGCTAAGGCTGCTGGGAGTTGCAGCTCAACAGCTTCTGGTTTTGCTTAGGTTTGAAGATCTTTGGGAGAAGGCTTCCCTTCAGTCCCACCATGATCACAGAGATGCTTGAAGAGGACATGGGAGAAATCCTTCTTGGTGGTTGCTCCAAGCCTATGGGATTTTCTTCCATGGGAGAATCGCCTAGTCCTTCCCTTTCTCTTCTTCTTTCAGCAAGTAAATACCTTTTTATCAGAACAAGCATTCGGTAACTAACTGGCCTGACAGAAAGGACGATGTGATAGAATCCTGGGATATATAGTTTGTTACGGTGCCAGAGTTCTCAGACAGAGAAGGGTAATTGTTTCACAAAACTACAAAACCCAGACTTCCACAGCATTGAGCCACGACAGTTAAAGCAGTGTCAAACTCCATTCATTCTGCAGTGTAGATGCAGCCCAAGCCAGCACATGTCACTAACATGATTTGGGTCAATATGATGAATATTTCTGACTATTTATTTTTGTCTCTTGCAGGAAGTTGGTGATGCTCTTTTATCTTTCCCAATGTACAACTTCAAACTGCAAATATTCCTTTACAGTGCACAGAGGTGTGTGTATGTGTATGGATTATTGTTACCTGGGAAAATGGAGAAAGAGTGTTCAAGATGACTCCCTGGTCTATTATTCATTGAAACTAAAGCACAGGAGGCCTTTTGCAAAAGATGTCAAGCTAATGACTCTCCTGGCAGATATTATGGAGAAAGAGAAGTTGCACCAGCAACAGGAGAGGCAGCTGTGCAGAAACTATGGTCTGCCATTCAGAACTGCTATTTTACAGTTCGTTTCTCCATACCTTGTTCCCAATAAACTAAGCAACCAAGCAATAAACAAGGATGATGGGATGTAAAGGAGGTAGACGTTTTTGTTTCCTGGTGTTTACCAAACAGGAGAGGTGAAGGAAAAGCATCTCCATGGTCCTTTCTTCCATTGGCCTCCAACGTCCAACAACTTTGACTGCCATGGCTCCATGCTATGGACCTCTGGGAACTGTAGTTTTGTAAGACATTTAGCCTTCTCTGTCAGAGAGCTCTGGTGCCACAACAAACTACAAAGCCCAGATTTCCATAGCATTGAGCGCTGGCAGTTAAAGTGGTGTCAAACTAGATTATTTCTGTAGTGCGGATACAGCCTTGGAAAGAAGCAGGAAGAGGCCTCTATAGACAAGAAGCAGAATAGGACTGAATTATTAAAGAGCAGGGAAAATAAAGGTGAACAAGATATGCACTTCAACATTCCCTTTCTCCCCAATTGCTAAAACCAATCATCGATGTCTCTTCGCTTCCAACAGATGTAAATCCCATACTGAATACCAGCTCTGAATTTTCCCCCAGTAAAGCCAAAATGGGTTTAAAATAAGATTTTAACATTTAAAATAGCATTTTTTGTCTGAGTATTTAACCCAATAGATACAATATAAATGTGATTTTAACACACACACACACAGACACACACAACTGGTATAAAACTCTTAATTTGTCCTGTAGACATGCCCTACCTACATTGTCTCTGATGCTTCTACATAATCTTAGAAAGTAGTTCATTTTTTTAAAAAAAGTTCCATCAGATAAGCTTTTTAATAATAATAATAATAATAATAATAATAATAATAATAATAATAATAATAAGTGGTGGGAAACAACATATAGCACTGGATTTTGTGTGCAAGCATAAATTAAGCCCCTTATGACACTTAAAAGATGGGTTAGATGTTGTTGTGTCCCCCTCCCTTTCATGGCACAGATGGCTGTGAAGTTAGTGAAAAGCCACACACCCAGCCTCAAAAATAACATTTAAATATACTGACCCAAAAAAAAAATTAGCAATCTGGAGCCTTGTTCTAAAATTACAATCTCTCTGTAAGGCTTGCTTGGCTATGCAGGCAGAATCTACAGCATTTATAGGAAGATAACAGAGCTTGCAAAGAACAACCCCGAATGCTGGCAGGACATTTCCAGCCGTAAACTTGGTTCCTGGTTTCATTTTCGCAGTGAGCCTCTCTCTGGCTTTTGTGGACAGATGGCCAGCCATGCTCCAATGCCCGCTGAAGTCTATACGTCAACGATGACAGAACATTTTGGCTGCAAATGAGCCAATGCAATCTTCCAAATTCACGGCAATCTATCTCTTTTTCCCTCCCTGTAGCATAAAATGAAAGATGGGTGAAATTAGGAGTGATTGGGCTTGGTGCAAAAATTTGGAAAGAAGAGGGGAGGGCGTTAAGGCACCTGGTTTGGTAGCCTTACAAAATGCGTGCTGGGATATTTTTAAAAGCTTTGACTGTCTGAGCTTTACCTTGCACGTTCCTGGCCAAACACAGCTGGCAGGCATGGGAGGGAATGGAGGACGCAACTCATCATGGCAGGGAGTTGGACTGGATAGTCCTTGTGGTCTTTTCCAACTCTATGGAATGAAATCTATGATTCATTCAAAAATCTTTATGTCAGTTGTATTGCAGGAGCGCACGATAAAACACTGAGTGATGCTGTGCAAATGATGAAGATCCTGGAAGCAGCCATGATGTCACGATCCAAAATCTCAAAATACAGGAAAGCAGTGTAGGCTTGTGACTCCGATGTAAGGATATCAATATAGGTTTTAGCCTGAAGTGGAAACAAATTGCTCTTGGTGCTGAATCTATCTAAGGACTTTGATGTTCTGTGCCTTCACATCATTTGCAACTATAGCGATCCTATCACAGGGATTTCTGGGCAAGATTTGTTCGGAGGGGGTTCACCCAGCAGGTTTCATGGCTGAATAGGGAATTGAACCCTAGTCTCCAGGGTCGTAGTCCAATGCTCAAACCACTACACTATGTAGGCTGTCATATCTAGGGACTAGGATTCCACATTTTTGACAGAGCACCCAACTTCTGCTGGACTTAATCCCTTCCCTCACCATCATTCCTTTTTATTTGTGTCTACTGTTTTATTAGATGGTAAGCCTGAGGCAGGGAACTGTAAAATTAACACTTTTAAAGCTTCTTTGAGAGAGCCCTTTTGGTTGAAGAGTGGGATATAAATGCTCCAGATAAATAAATAAATAAATAAATAAATAATGGATCACCTCCCTTACATTGGAGCAATCAGTCTCCATGGGTTCAGAGGAGAGGACCAATAATTACGCCCAACTAGACCAACCACACAAGTGTTGACTTATCAAGTTTCGATTGATTCACTAGGTGTCCTCTTGTTGAGATTAATATCAATTTGGATGTGCCCTTAGTTGTGCATTCCTGCACAGCAGGGGCTAACACTAGATAGCTCTTATGGTCCCTTTTAACTCCGTGATTCTATGACTAAAACCACAGAACATATCATTACTATCAGTTGTATGCTGTACTACCTGCTTCCTATATTTAGAAGTTAGGCATATCTCATTCCTTCAAGAACTTTGTTTTTCATATCTACGCAGCACCCCATAGAAGTGTTCATTTCCTGAAGTTGACAAAATGTTCCTTTTCTTTCTTTTTCTCTCTTTCTATAAATGAAAATTTCCACTTTAGAAGAGCGCGGGGAATCTTCAGCAATAAGAGATAACACCATTGCATCTTTGCTTTACCTTTATTTTCCTTGATGTAAAATTTTTGGAATGATAAGCTCTCCAAGGCAGATATAAGCAACCTGATGAAAGGAGGACCCATTCAACATTCACGGTGCCATCACAGCAGTTGTGTTTAGTGTGAGTACACACCATCCCCTTGTGTCAGCGGAACAAGAGGGCACCAAATAGATTTTACCAGAATGCAGCGGCTCTATCCCTGTTTTGTGATGCAGCGTACGAAATGGATATTGGTCGTCCACAGAAAAGAAAATCCAGACAATGCTCAAGGTAATTCTTTGCAGCTGATGTCCTTATTGTTGCAAAATAAACATGGATTTATTGCAGGTTCTTGTTGAGACCTCTGCATGAGAAATTCATGGGAAATATTCTACACTGTTAAAGGCCCAGTTATCCATTTTGAAATTGGTAAATCATCCTGTAATGATGTGTAAGATTTTGTGGGGTTCAGTGGAGTAGGAAGCAGCATGACTATGAACTGAAGTCCCTTTCTGATGTTGTTTGGGAAGTCTGGTTTTCACAGCAGTACAGTCTTCCTGAGAGCTAGTGTGGCATAGTGGTTTGAGCATTTGACTATGACTCTGGAGATCAGGGTTCGATTCCCGGCTCGATCATGGAAACCTTGGGCAAGTCACACACTCTCAACCCCTGAAAACTCCATGACAGATTCACCTTAGGGTCCCCATAAGTCAGAAGCAACTTAAAGGAACACAACAACAACCAACAGTCTTCCTAGCACTATCCAAGGGTAACCATGTTGGTATGAATACCCTTCCATACCATCTGAACTAAGGACTACAGATATAACATCTTGACCAAATGCAGGGCAATGACTAGCATCCTAAATTTCTTTTCCCCTCCTGCATCCCCTCCTTTGCCTGATGAAGAAGCCAGTGGAGCTTTGAAAGCTTGCAACTTGTTTGATGTGCATCCCTTTCTTGTTGATTTTGGATGATACTGTGCTTTCCTAGCATTTATGTGAGTTATGTGGAAGCAGTCCGCACTGAGGCCACACACCCTCACAATCCCTGAACATTGAGGCAACACTACTGTATGGTTAGGGAATCGTTTGGTTTTGCTTTTTTCCCCACACACATTGCTCATGAAATCAACCATTTCCATCCATCCAGAATACAGTTGGCCTTCTGTGGATTACTGGAACCAAACACCAGCAGATACCAAGGACCCACTGTGTGAATAAAATTGTACAAAGACTTGGGAGGTCTTACAGATGTTGCAGAAGAGGTGGCAGTTAAAAATATAAATATGGGGGGGGGGGAAAGAAATTTATATTTTTTCTTTCCTTCCTGGGTCAAGAAATGAGTTTCCCAACTGTCAGGGAACCCCATCTGGAAGAGAGACCACCAAAGCTCTTGCACAATTTTCTCCTAATATTACAATGTTTGTAAGTGTTTTGGAAGAATTACAGTGGGCCCTTGGTATCCATTAGGGTTTGGTTCCAGGGTCTCTCATAGATATCAAAATCCATGGATACTCAAGTCCCATGGTGTAGTAAAATGGTGTACCTTATATAAAATGAGGCAAACTCAAGGTTTGAAATTGGGAATTTTATTTTTTAGAATATTTTCAAACCATGGATGGTTGAATCCATGGATGCAGAGGGCTGACTGTATTCTGCCAAATAAAACATGTGGAGGTTTTAAACCCCCCTCCACTTGTCTGCTTAGAAAACACAATTTCCTGCAGAAGAAACCTGATTTCTGTAAACAACAACAACAGCAACAACCCTGGAGTTTCTCTTTGCACAAAAATCTGTGTTTTTCTCTGCAGAATAACCCCCCCCCCCCAAATTCTCTTGAATACAGAGAGATTACAGTGGAAGAATATTCATTTTCCTCTGCAGTGGAGCGAAAACAACCAAAATCATTTATCTTCACATGTAAGGGTGAAATGGTTGAGTTTTGACATCCCTGTTCCACACCTGTTAAATGTTTCAAGCTGATCCAGATGAAGTTTCCTCATTATTTTCCTTGATGGAGTCACTTCCTGCAAAAAGAAATATGATATGAAAAATATGGTATGAAAAAAGAAATACCTCCCATGCCTTCTAGGAGTTGTTCAGGGTATTTGGATGATGATGATGATGATGATGATGTTTATGTTGTTTTAAAAAATAGAGTTGGGGGCAAATTGGAGTTTTAGTTTTCTAAGGTTCCCTAGGGTCCCAATCCAGCCCTCTAACCCCCCTACAGTTGCCCCTATGCTAAAGTATAAAGAGTAGTCAGAAAATCTAGAGCCAATTTGATACAGTGATATCCAGAAATGTGAGAGAACCACAATATTCAGTCTTGTTCTGTTGTTTTCCTTTTACACAAACCTGCATTCCCCCCATCCTCCACTCCTCAGGCAACATCTCAGTGGGTTTCAAAATCTGCCAAGAGAAATGGTGACAACAGCCTGGGCTGAACTCTCTCAGATTGCTACCCAACGCTGACATCCAGGGAGAGAACTGTTTGCACAATGCTTCTCAAGCATATCATCCCATAACCAACTGCTGGCCACAGTTGACTGGGATTGTTAACAGGTCAAGTCAGAAGCAACAAATGGAAATAGCATGGGTCAGCCAAGGCAAAAGCATGGGGAATAGAATGACGCAGATAGGACAAGTGCAAATACATTTCTGCAGGAGAATGGGGGGGATTGGAAGGGTGGTGTGTGTGTGAGTGTGTCTGTTTATTTGCATTGATGTTTGTGCTAATCATTTGCCTATAAACCCTTTGCTTTACCTACCTATAAATAATGAATCATAGTATGATAGAGTTTGAAGACCCCAAGGGTCATCCAGATTACCCATTTCTGCCACGCATCAAAGCACTTCCGACAGATGCTCATCCAGCCTCTGTTTGAAAACTTCCAAAGAAGGAGACTCCACCGTACTCTGAGGCAGCATTTTCCACTGTCCAACAGCTCTTTCTGTGAAGAAGTTCCTCCAAATGTTGAGGTGTGCTCTCTTTTCCCGTAGTTTGAATCCATTACTCTGGGTCCTATTCTCTGGAGCAGCAAAAAGCAAGCTTGCTCCATCCTCAATATGACATTCCTTCAAATGCTTAAACAGGGCTATCAAGTCCTCTCTTAACCTTCGCTTCCCCAAGCTAAACATACCCAGCTGCTACTTGTGGGACATGGTTTCTAGACATAATCCATGGGTTATAGGGGAGCCAATTTGTTCAAACTATTTATAAATTTTCAATATGAACTGCAACAGAGGGAGTGCCTGCTGTGGGATTTGTTAAGGCAGATGGTCCTTAGCCACTCTTGGGCAAAGCTCCCAAGCCCTGGGAACTCTCTGAAATATAGGATGGCTGTCCAGCCTGCCCTGTTTGAAACAAGGCACACGCAAGGATCTCCCTCCTCATGTCCTGTGACTGAAAGTAAGGATGAACCTCTGGCAAACCCCAAGAAATAGTATCCTTCCTTCTCTTCCCCCTGGATCCTTCGCCAAAGGGGTCAGATGTATCCATCTATCTCATCATTTCTGATACCTCAACCCTCTGCATCTATCCTTTTTGAGTGGCATGTGCCTTTTACGCATGGTGGCATCATTGGCAGTCAGTGGAGAGTTCACTCTGGTCTTACGTCTGAACTCCAGCAAAGCTATCCAAGTTGCTGAACTCACCCCCTGAAGTACATCCAGCAGCTTTATAGTTTGGATTAGAACCCAGAACAAATTCACCAGCCTGTCCAGTTTGGAATGCCCTCTTCTGACACTATCAAAGGGACATATTTTTTATTATAAATTTTTATTCAAGGTAATCAATAACAACAAACATATAAACAAAACAAAAAAAAAAACTTCTATGTCTCAAACAGCATAAAAACAGATAAATCATTCTCAGCCTCATAGACCTTACCTACAACTACATCCTAATCACATTTAAAATACCTGCACAAATAATGAATGATATTAACTTTAATTATATTACAATGGCTTGAATAGAAGAAATAAGCATCCTCGACTAAATGAAATACATATTGATATACAGTTGTCCCTACACATTTGCGGATTTGACTTTTGCAGACTTAATTATTCACAGAATGTATTACTATGTTCTCTCTAGGAATATCTAGGTCCTCCAGCACAACTCTATGGTCAACATTAATCAAAAGTCACACTGGAAGACCTAGATATTCCTAGAGAGAAGACTCCACTAGGCATTTGTGGCTCCTCCAGCACAACTCTATGGTCAATGTCTGGCAGATGTTGACTACAGAGTTGCACTGGAAGACCTAGAGATTCCTAGAGAGGTAAAAACATAGTGTTTTTGTTATTTGCAGTTTTTCCGCATTCACAGGGGTCCTGTGTCCCTAACCCTAGCTAATGTGGAGGGATCACTGTACATTTACATTCCCTCTTCTTTCTCATCTACCTTTTCCCTTCTTATACCATGTTTCCTTATTCCTCTCTTACAATCCTTCTCCCCCCTTCCTTCTACTTTGATAGTGTCTTTACAGTTTGGATTAAAACCCAGAACAAATTCACCAGTCCATCCAGTTTGGAAAGCACCCTTCTTACACTATCAGAGGGACATACGTATATCTTTTATTTTTTCTTTAAAAATCCAAACTGAACTACCAGCCTCTCTATTTGACAGTATTTTTTAAAAATCACACTTGCAAATCCGAGATGTGTAGTCTAGCATGGACTTATATTGTCCCATGATGAAAGAATTCATTTCAGGTTATTTGGCTTGCTTATTGAGAATGAAAAGGAACATGCAGACAACAGAAGGTAATTTAACTGCACAGCGTTTGTACGTGTGGCTGGAAAAGATAGTTTAAAAAAGCCTGACAACACAGTGTTTCTTATGCACTGCAGGTAATATGCAAACACAAGAAGCAACCTGCTTTGTAGGAAATGTGAAGCCGTTAACATGTTTTATTATACCACCTTTCTTATTTAATTATAGTGTAATTCAAAAATTATGATTTTTGCACTGTGCCATTAGAAAGCAAGAAAGACAAGTGGGAACTCTGGTTACCTGAAAGAAGATCTTCATTTCCACCCCCAAAGAGGATTTGGGTTCATTATAGACACCTATCCCTTAATCTGGTTGGTTAGTCCAAACTAGACTAA